ATACTGTGTGCAGTGCTGCTTCCCCGTGAGCTCACTCACTCCTTTGAGGACTTCCTCTCTGTGATCGTTGAACATCATGAATAGGTTGATCTTCCAGCTGGTGTTGCAGTTCACAGAGTTCACCTGCAGAGGGCGCAAACATGCTCTGGTTAGGGTGTGGGCAGCGCAGTAGAGGCAGTGTGCATTTGAATCTCTTTCTAGGCTAATACTTGTGTTATTTCTTGCCTCATAGAATCACATTTATTCTCATTTCAGATTTGTTTTCACATTATTAAAATATCTATTTTGTCACGTTGCATTATATTTATTTAGCTATATGAAATTCTACCTATTTGTGCTACATTACAGGTTTATTGTGATTATTTTTACAAACTGTAACTATGGAATGTCCAGATTTTAGGATCATTTTGTCTCTCTGTAGTCATTTGTGAGTCACTTTACTGTGAAATTCATTAGACTAACAGAAAGCCACGGGCCACTCGAGGTACTAAACAGTCAGCAGTTTCCCCACGCGAAAAATATTTCTATATATCCAAAGAACACGCTGCTTTTCTTTCTTTTTATTGGTTTTAAACTGTTTGTTTTAAGAAATCATTAACTTTAATGTGTTAATAATTTTCCAGAAGCCTCAGTCTTATCATTTAAATAAATAACTGCAGACTCTGCTCACAGTAACAATTATATCACAGCATCCAGCAGCGACGCCATGTTTGATGAGCAATAATTAAAGATAACTGAGCTTTGAGGTCTCAGGATAGAAAAGTGCTGTACAAGAATCAGTCCATTTACTATTTGTGTTTGGTGTAAAATGAGTAAAGTGCAAGTCGTGTATTTTCCTGTCATCATGGGAAATGACACATAGTGAATATCTGGAATGTGAGAGAATAACCTGCATGTCATCTCTAAAACAAGAGGGCGCCAATTTCAGGGAAATGACAAATGCTGAATATTTCTGTCAGTTTTCTGATCGTCACTTTCTCACCTCTTTGCATCCCGGGTGGTCGGTCAGTTCGTAGTTTGAAGCGTGCAGCGGCTGACCAGCGTTCACCGGGTTCAGGATCACTTTATCTCCCACCACCACCTGCAGCAGAGAGCAGACTGAATAATCTGCAACTATGGATCTATTGTATATATTTTGATGCTCTGATGGTGGCACTAAGAACGAAAGGTCAGGCTGTTGCCATGAGCGCAGATTTTCCTGTAATGTGCATTTACATTGTCTCCGTTGGCACGCAGCTTCCAGAACGGCTGGATGAAGAGCCAGGAGCCTTCGTTTCCCGTCCCGTCCAGAGTGACTCGCATGGCGTTCTTCTCCAGCAGAGCCGGCAGCCGTTTGTTCACCGTCAGGTATTTATTACTCTTCATGTGGAGCAGCTGCAGACACAAGTACATCATTGCACCGTATGTCACATAGACAGCATTTAAAATATGTCACTAGGGCATTATATAACCAAATGCCAATTAATGTGCCACTAAAATAGTCCCCAATGTAGTGAGCAGTTGTTTTAGGGAAGAACAGAGCCTGTGTTGTTTTTTTGTTTTTGTTCTTATTTTGCTCTCGATTACACCTGAAAGGATTTTAAAAGGTTTCTGGGGTGTTTGTGACTCAGCAACTGTTCTGGAACCAAGATCTTTACTTTTTCTTTTTTTTTAACATACTGTGAAAAAGTGAACACAAATCAAAACAACCTCACAGATTTTTTGCTGCTCTGGTATTTAAAAGAGACACTACTGTACATTTGATTACATTTGAAGGAAAACTGACTTTTTCCCTTCTTCATTAGGATTAGATCAGTGTAACTAAAATTATTTTTATGTTTAATAATTTTTTGTTGTTGTTTTGTTTGCAGTTCACTAACACCGAGTTAGTCATCAACCTAGAAACTCGCTGCACTCGTGGTGTCACAGACTGCAGACAAATAAACAACAGAAATGATTGGAGTGAATTTTTGCTTCTGTGTGTTGTTTAGTTAATAAACTTAATAAACACACTTTTCATTTTTCATCTCATGGCTGATTGTGTTTAAACCTGTGAAAACCTTAAAAACAAACACACACACAC